ATGTAATTATTTTCAATTTGGGCCCTTATTTGTAATTATTTTCACTTTTCGGGCCCCTATATGTAAATTCCCCAAAAAATTTTGCTGTCTGGTAAAATAAAAAAAAAAGTTTGAGATCAGGTGCAACATAAAATCAAAATATACTCTAACCCTAACGCTAACACTAACAGCAAATTTTTGAAGCCGATGAAGCTGGTTATTTCAGATAATTGAAGATTGCGACGGATTATATATTCACGATCGATTTTAACCAGAAATAATCTTAAACCTTAACGTTAACCACAATCATATCTATATCTTGCACTATGCTAAAACTGTAACTGAGAAATATGGAATTCACTATAAAATGAACAAAAAATCATTGTGCTCACAAAATATGTATGCTATATATATGTTATTTTCTAAACTATAATTTACAGCATCGGATTTTAACAGATCAATTAATAATTATTTTAACATTCATCTGCTATATTTACACAAATAAAACATATCTGAATAAAAAGGCACGAAATAAAATGCTATAAACTTTAATAGCTTATAAACGCGGGGTTTACTAATCCCCCCCTAGTTCCTATTGGACGAGAAAACCCTTGCTTTTCAATCAAATAATAGAAGTATCGTTGAAACAGTACAAAAGTCTAATAGAACATATATTAATATAAAGTTTACAAGGAATTTTTTTTGTTAGAACACGAAAGGTGGTTTTGTAACCGAAATTTTAAGTTACTGGCGATTTTTGAAAAAACTTCAAGCCCCGATTTTTGTTGAAAATTTTGTGTTACACCCGATCTTATAATTTGATTGGTAGACGAAGAGTGGAGTGGTCCATTTGTCCAATCAGAGACGGCATTTACAAATGCCCAATCAGAACTGGCGGGAGAAATTAGGGATCCCATAAACGCGTAGACCAAATAATAGTTAATCTTATAATACCGTGAATTTAATTAAATTATATTGATTAATCAATTAAGAAACTATTTTTCTATTTAATCACTAAAGTTACGCAAATATAATGAACTTAAAATGAGATACTGTATATTGATATTGTGTAAAGAAAACACCATAAATTCGAATAACCTACTTTTAACATATCTACTAATAATCTTTATACTGATATTAAATGTGAATAAAGTAAAACTATAAGGCATTTATAATTATTGGCTATTCATTAATTTAAATAATTTATACTAACTTTTGATTAAATAATTATACCTAAACTATTTATATTTATCCGTTGAACTATTTATACAGAATCTACAAAATATAAATCCAAGAAAAGCCCGTAAGTTCTTACGCATTTATTATTTTAATTTTAACATTACATGATTTAATTTTAATAATATTATTTAGTATTAAATAAAACAATTAGAAGTAAAGTTTGTTAGATAAAACTATATTTTGGTATTTTGTATGTTAATATTGCTTACTAAAATATTAAAGACCCCCTCCCACGCACTTAAAAGTCGAGTAGGCTGGTCACTTTTAAAATTCTATGTTACAAAAACCAATTACCGTATTCCTCCGAAAATAAGCACTCCACGAAAATAAGCACCCCTGGCCCACACTATGCCAACTTTGGCCCGCTTTACGACAATCACGGCCAGCATTAAGTGCAAAAAAAGATGCTTATTTTCGGAGGAATACGGTATTTAACTTTGTATGGTCTAATATTAACTTATTTTTTTTATAACTGTCTTTTGCTTTAGTGAACTTGTTTAGAAAATTAAATTACATTTATAATAGTACTAGATTTGTCTTTTTTGTAAAATTAGCTAAATTTAGTATATGTAATACAAACAATTGACATTTTGATTTGTTAATGTAGGAATACACTACAATGCAGGAGCACTAAAGTTCTAAACTCTATATTTATAATTTATTTGAAACTATTCCGTTCTATTTTATTAAAAAAGGCAAATATAAATCTTGAACATTCTAATTTAATTAAGTAAAGCATTATCTTATTAATAATTGGTAACAGCATATTATTACATTGCCTACTATATCTAAAACCACCTTATCCAATATTCAGTTTAACAATAACTTTAAACTCTTTCTATGGATAACCCTGAATTCGAAAGTTTTAAATAAAATTACGCAACTTGAAACAAGATTGCTCGCTAAACCTATTCTTTTATTGCCAGTATTGTCGAAATTCCATCTACAGTTTGTTTATATCAAATTCAATCGCTTTAGAATCATCATCTGCTTGATTATTTTTTAGTTGTTGCATTATTGCCATTTTATTATTTGAATATATAATACAATTGATTATTATAAACATTATATTAAAACAAAAAAAAGAAGATACATCATCTCAATACAAAACATTCTCTTACCTATAAGTGCATTGCTATTTAATTTCATACTTTGTAAAGTCAATGCTTTACTAATTAATGGAGTTAATAGTCGGCTAGAATAAATTGCTTGGTCATTTATTTTAGTTTGTAAAATATTTGTACTTTCATTTTCTGAACATTTTATTTCGCCTCTTTCGGCTTTCATAATAAGATCTTCAAGCTCATTTACATCTGTAAACTTCGCATGATTATACCTCGTAATTAATTTTCTTTTTGCTGGATCTTGATGCCAGCATTTTTCTATTAAATCAACTAATTCTTGTGGAATGTTAATTGGAATTTTTGGACGAAGACCATTAATAATATCCAAAATAAGAAATTCATCATGTTTACGATCGGAAAATGGTCTACAACCACTTATTACCTCAAAAATAATCATAGCAAAACTATACATATCTGCAGCATGTGTAAACTTTTCTCCTTTTAATACCTCTGGTGCAACATATGGAATAACTCCATAGGCTGCATTCTTATCTGACGAATCGCCTATTGGTTTGCTTATTCCTAAATCTGCAATTGTTGGAGAACCATCCTGTTTAATGAGAATATTGCCACTATGAAGATCACGATGAATCATTTGACGTGCGCGCATTAGGTCAACTCCTTCTGAAATTCTATGTAATAGTCTTAATTTTTCTAACCCAGACAAAGTTTTTTTACTTAAAAAATAATGTAGATCCTTATTATGCGCCAATTCTATAACTATAATGTAATTTTTTGTTTCAGGATGTTGTGTAATACCAAGGTATCGATGAAGAGCTTGAATATTATAACAAATAGTTTTTTTACAATGGAAATAGTTTTTTAACTAAAATAACATAAAATTTAACTAAATTAATTATACAAAACTTCACATAAATACAGTTTTAAGATATATATACAGACCTCATTTAAATAATCAGAGTTCATTTTTTTAGAATTATTAAGAATTTTAAGAACAATATCATAATTTCTTTTTCGTCTGTATCCTTGCTTTTTAGAACTCCAAAGGGTAATAGGTCCATCAACCCATGTTGCTTTATATATCACACTAAACCCTCCTTTAGCAAGGTATTCAATATTAGTAAATTGTTTATATGGAATAAATTCTAATTTTGATTTATATTTATAACTTCCATAAGACGTTTGTGATAATCCAATAAAATCGTCTATTAATTTATTACCACTTAAGACACGTAATGAGGCCCCATAACAATTTCTACATTGATTGGAATTTTCATCATATAAAACCTTTCTTCTATTGCATCTCTTACAAATTTGCCTTTTTTTATACCTAGAAATAAGTGAAACTGAATGTTCATTCTTTTTAACTGATTTTGTATCATGTTGTTGTAAAGTATCAATTTCGGTTCAGCTCGCATCACCGACGCTCATTTCGTAGAAATAACATTTCACCGACAACTATTCACCGACAATTATTTCACCGACAAGTTTATT